GAGAGAGAGAGAGAGAGAGAGAGAGAGAGAGAGAGAGAGAGGCCGAATGGCAAAAATAGAAAATGGGTCAAATTTCCACCGTGATTTATTTCGCGGTTGAAATGATTTTTGAAAATTTATTTAATATTTTTCCTGGAAAGATCACAATAAAATCTGCAAGTACTCCAATTTTCAGATTTTTTCACGCATTCTTTAAAGTGTGAAAAATTATTGAAGTTGTGCTTTTTTTCACCCAAAAAAGGAGTACATTATATCATCACAGGCTGGGAAACGGGCCCAGCGTCCCTCACATCAATAACCATGGCCTGCAGGGATGAACCAGGCTCTCTGGCCTGGATCAACCTCAGCGCGACTGAGCACCCGTCAGCCTGCAATGTCACACCCTAATCAACTCTAATTAACAACGCACACTAATTAACTCTAATTAACAACACACCCTAATTAACTCTAATTAACAACACACCCTAATTAACTCGAATTAACAACACACCCTAATTAACTCTAATTAACGTTGCTAACCCTAACACTAAAGCACAAACCAACTTAGACCATCAAAAGGAAAATGGATCCAAAAATCTACACCTCCAACCCTGAACACTCTAAAAGACCAACAGAATTCCACCCAAAAACAACTAAACAATCAATGAATGAATGAACCCTAACTGGCTAACCAAATACCCACTACAATGACTACACACATCAACATGAGCTAATTAACCCTCATAATTTATTCAAGCGAAAAGAAAAAAGTAAGGATTAAGAGTTCGCAAGCAACACCACACCCGAAGTAGGAGCATCAGCAACACAAAGCGATGTCGATCGCAGCTTAAAGCCTGTTGTCAACGACGGTGGGTGATACCGGTCACAGCGAAACTCTAGTGTCGCTCTCCCGGAAGCCGGTGCTCGTCGATGCACACACGTCTCTCATCTCCGCGTGAAGCTTCAGCTTCTGACTCCTTATCAAAGTGAGGGGACAAAGTCCCTGACAGGTTCACATACTGGTATGTACGGCGCCCAGATCCCGCCCTTCGGACCACCACACATCTCCTCCTTCCTCCCATAGTCTCTCCGGGAATGCCAGCATACACCAACCGGGACCAAGATATGGCAGAAGCATTTCAGTGCTTCCTCAAGGCAGTTCCCACCCTGCGCCCACACGCCTCTTCTCTCCGACCGCCTCCGCCACCCCAACCTTAGGTTTTGGCACCGCGCAGCACTGATCGCAGCTGCACGAACGCGATCCCCCAAAGCCCAGGCGCTCACTCAGGTGAAAAAATTCAGAGGTGCTAGCGCTAACGCCAACGTGGGCATCTGTTGGCCCACACATGGCTGAGTGGCAAAAAGGGAAAATGCACCGAATCGGCATGACAATTATTTTGCGGTCTTAATGATTTTTTATTTTTTTATTTTTTTTATTCCTGGAGTAAGTCGGGTGGGAAAGGGGTGTTACTAGGGTTGGCAGAAGGGGTTCGTGGAGTGGAGCCTGTGCATATGTGGATGGGGGTGAGTGAGGTGTGACAGCTGAGTGTTGGTAGTGATGGAGGATTTGAGCGAACTGTGGTCTGAAGCTGCCGCGTGGCTTGGTACCATCCAAGTTAGTACTGCGTGTCTAAGCAAGGTGGTGGCGACCTTGCGATCTGCAGCGGCCGAAAAGATGGCGCCGTCGCTCACGTGGACCCGGAGGAAGCAGCGAAGCATGATGGAGATTACATGGGGGGTGGAGGGGGGGCCACCGCCCTGTTTGAAAGCGTGTATTGATGGGCCACGATCGCGCGATTTGATGCGGTGCTTCTACGAGGAGCTTGAGGAGGGGCAAGTTCTCTGCGCTGCATTGGAAGATCGATGGTACGATGATGCTGATAATATCGTGGAAGACGATCTGGCCAATTACACCAACGCTGGAGACGATCAGGATAATAACACCATCGCCGACGACGCCATCATGACCAACAGCAACGACGATAACGATCTCGCCCACCTCGCCGATGTCTACAACAACAACAACAACAACAACAACAACAACAACAACAACAACAACAATAACAACAACAACTACAACAACACCAACGACAAGAACAACAACAGTAACAAGCCAATATTGCCTGTGACCAGCTCGCTCATTTCTTCACAAGCCATGAACAGCAACATCAACAACTACACCATGCCTGTGACTGTGCCGCTGGTATCTACACAGGCTACGAGCATCAACAGTGACAACTACAGCAACAACAAGGAGGCTGCGCACGGCAGTGCCATGGACAGAAGGAAGCAGTGTTCGTGCACGGCAGGGAGCAACGATATCTACAACAATAACAATATCGGCAGATATGGTGAAGTATATGCGTATGGTCATTTTTCTTCCCCCCCCCTCCCTAGGGAGGTGTGGGGGTGTGGGGAGTGGGATGGTGGCGTGAGGGGGTAGGATAGCGAACGCTGGATCAGCCAGGTTGCAGGTGAGGGGTTGGCTTCACCGTATCTAGTCTTTGAGTTTTTAACCATTGGTTGATCAGGATAGTCGGGGGAATACTATCTTTTGCTATGAAAATAAGTTTTCTCCACGTGACAAGGCAGGATGTGACATCATCAGCAGGAACCACAGGAGGAACATGCAAAGGATGCACCCGACCCCTTGCGTGAGGCATTCGGACCAGAGCCAATGGATTTTGAGACAGCAAGTGCAGAGGGAAGCCAATCGCGAGAAGACCCCGATGCCCCCCCTGGCGGTTTGGACATTGAGAGCAAGCTCCAATCTGTAGCAGACTGGGTCATCACACACCTCAAGACACGTTGCACGAGAGAAGGACAATTAGGGGGGACAGAGGAATTCTGGGATAGAACATACGTTGAGTTATTTGGCCTACTGGACAAAAGCCCTACACTAAAGGAAGCTTTAGAGAAAGGCCCGCCGATGCACCATGCATGGAAAGAAGTCTATCAAAGAATCCTACACATCTCTGTAGCCCAATTTCAGCCGCCACCGGAACCCCCAGACCTTCCCCAAGCCCCATCCACTCCCCCTCCGTCGTCACCTCCTCTTCCAGCCTCCTCCTCCTCCTTATCACGGACGCCGTCACACGAAAAGGATATGGAAGAAGAGATAACAACACTGCCGGAACCAAGGAGAAATGACGGTGAGAAGGAGAAAGGACAAGAAGAGGAAGAGGAAGGAAACAAGGAATTAATATCACCCAGACAAAGAGTGCGGCAGGCGGTAGAGAAAGGGCTACACGAAAGAGCCCTCATGGCACGAGCGGGAGTGACTCTAATTCCCTTGCGCAAGAAAGGGGGGAAATGGGAATTAGGATTGAAACCTGCAAGTACCGGGGACAAACATCGAGATGTCACCCTACCCGGCTTTGAGTTAATTAATATATGGACCAGTACTGGGATGCGTGACCTCATGTTTTGGCGGCAAGTGGAGGACTTCCTTAAGGAACAATATGGGGCAGGAGTCCAAGCCACATTGCAGCTCGGGAGGGAGTACCCCCAGATTGCAAGTATAGATGTGTACCTCAAGTTTGACGACAACAAGGATTCAGGACTCCAGTGGTTTGGCATAAATCAGTTGTTGGACCTGCAGACCTTGCAGTTTGTATTACAAGGATAGTAAGAAAAGGGGTCCTCACAGAAATCAACTGGGATCAACAAAAATGGTCGCCGGTCTGATATGAAGAACGGAAGGCATAAAATACGGGAAGAAGGAAACTGGTGGAAGCATAATGGAGGAGATCAATATTTTATATGGTAAGAGCCCGGCRTGGAAAAATCTTATAAAAAACACAGACCTAGACCTGCGATCCATTAACGTAAATGRATTGGCTACATACAATCCAACTAAGGTCCAGGCCATTTGGGATCAGCTGCGAGGGATAGGAGGAAGGGCTTGGCCAGATGTGGTGTGTATTCAAGAGATACACCTCATGGACAAGCCGGAGCACCACAGAGCCCACAAAACGGTCTGGCCGCATCAGCGGTATTGCGCGCATGCTCCATCACAGGCATCCGCTGGGGTGGCTATCTGGGTCCCACCAGACTCCAGAATGGAGGTGGTTCACTGGGCGGCAGACGAGGAGGAAGGAAGATGGGTAGTGCTACTGGGAATGCTTGAGCTGGAAATAATATGCGTAGCCTGTATATACGCCCCCAACACCGTACCAGAAAGGATGGCGTTCTTCCAAAAACTCAAGGACCGGATGCCGGTGGGCACACCCCTGATTATAGCCGGGGATTTTAATGCTGCCTCAGATAGGTGGCAGGACAGATGGAGCTCTCTTATCCCCCCCCCCCCCCCATTACACAGAAGAGCACGAATACATGCTTTGGGACCTCTCTGCCTCTCTCAATCTGTTTGACACATATAGGTGTATCCACCCAACAGAGTGGACTTTCACCTGCATCCGCACAGCGGATCCTGCACGGCAATCTAAATCCCGTATTGATCTTATTTGGATGTCCGAAGACATAAAAAACTCACTACAAACAGCTGTAATTCTCCCAAAGAGCCCGCACCCGGGGTTGGACCACAAAACGTGTGGGGCCTTACTATCCTTTAGGAAAATACCAGACCAAGGACCAGGATTCTATAAAATGAATACCTCCCTTCTAAAATTACCAAAATTTCAGAAAATGATAAACGAAGCATGGGAACAATGGCGATCCTTCCGACATCAATTCGACTCAGAAATACAGTGGTTTAATAACGGTCTATTCTTCTTAGGACGAAAATGCAATGAATTCTCTAAGCTGAACGCAAAAAGACGTAACCTTCAGGAAATGAAACTTCATAAACAACTTCACACCTTGGAAAGCCAAGGGACCTCGGATGAACCTAGTAATACCATTCAAGAGCTGCGGGAGCGATCGCTGCAGCACGCTCAATATAGGTGGCAAGGTGTCAAAATCAGAGGGAAACTCACCAAATGGACATCCGAAGGAACCATGGACACGTTTTTTTGGCATAGCAAAAGCAAGAGCACATCGTAACACTGTAGAGGCCCTTCTTAACCCTAATAATGACCATGATGTGGCCACCACCACGGCACACTGCACAAATATCGCGCGAACCTTTTTTAAGCAACTTTTCTCCTCGCAAATAACTAACCCTCTTGATGAAAGACACCAAAGGGAGTTGGAGGATTTCCTCGGCCCATTGGATAAAAGACTTAGCCCGCAACAGAACGAAAAAATTGAACAAACTGTTAAGAAAGATGAGATATGGACGGCCCTCCTTCAGATGGATGAGGATAAAACTCCAGGGATGGACGGTTTCCCTAAAGAATTTTGGGAAACCATGTGGCCGACCCTGCACCAAGACCTGATGAGTTACTACGGGGAGGTATGGAGAACAGGACAGATGGGGGAATGTGTGGGCTAGGGGGTGCTGTCCCTCTTATACAAAAAAGGCGATAAAACGAATATCAGAAACTACCGACCCATCACCTTGCTCACGGTAGTCTACAAAATGTTAGCTAAAGCCCTCGCAAATCGATTGCTCGAGGTAATGGAGGATATTATCCACCCGGCCCAATCAGGATTTATAAGATCCAGAAACATCCAGGGAAACATACTCCTAGTCAATGAGATGATCCATCTGGCTCAGCAATCCAAACAGAACGCGACCTTCATCTTTATTGACTTCGAGAAGGCCTATGACCATGTGGATTGGACCTTCCTGGATGCATGCCTCCAGAAAATGGATTTTGGGCCTAATCTGAAACGATGGGTTCATATCCTCCACCATAATGCAACAACACGTGTGCAAATAAATGGACATTTAGCACCAGAAACTACGCTGCAGCGCTCGGTCAGACAAGGGGACCCCATCACCCCCTTCCTTTTTGTTATAGTTATGGAAGCACTGTCGGCCAATTTACGGCATAACAAGGACATCAGGAAAATGAAGATTGCAAACATCCCAGAGGAAGCCATTCCGGTATGCTCCCTCTTCGCTGACGACCTCACAATAATGAACGATGCCTGGGAGGGTAACATGGAAGAGATACAGAGGCTGATGGATCGATTTTGCAGACTGTCAGACATGGCTGTCAACTGGGGAACCAAAACGGTGGGGTGGTGGATGCACCATCAAGGGGGGCGCCCGCATGAAGCTCCCCACATCAAATGGCTCCCCTTGGAAGCCACAGTGAGAGTGTTGGGCGTCCAAATGATAGCAAACGGAAAGCCAACCACGAATGACGAATGGGTCCAGTCACCCGCTCAAGACAAGATGAAGGAATGGAATCAGAAGCCAACCTCACTTTTTGGGAGGGCACTAGTCATCAATAATGTTGTCATGGCGTCTCTTTGGTACAAATCACTTATCTGGCCGTTAAGTGTAGCAACCCTGAAGGCATTCAAGAAGCAGGCAACAACCTTTTTGTGGAGAGGAGATAGTGGATGCGAGCACGCTATCAGCAGGGTGGCGTGGGACGCAGTAATCCAACCCAAGGCTAAAGGTGGCCTGGGGATTATTGACCCGACTCTCCAAACCCACGCCCTCAGCACGCAATGGATTAAAAACCTCATCCTGGGAACTGCCCAACCCTGGCACCCGTTAGCCATGGAACAGATTGCCAGACTCGCACCAGAAGCGCCGACAGAGGTGGATCCGCTTTTGTGGCTAGACGACAGGTATTGGAAACTCCTCCGCAGAGGGAGAGGAGATCAAAGGGAGGGCCCCTTAAAAGACGAATTCTGGCCACGTATGATCAAAATATGGCAGAAGCTCCCCCCCCCAGACCGTCCGGAACCAGAGAGATGGGAGGAAGTATATCGACAACCCCTATTTGGCAACCGGCGCATCACGGACTCCCATGGGCAAGTAAGGTGTAGCTCCATCCCTCCATGGAATGGATGGATCAAACATGGGATATGGAAGGTGGGGGACCTATGGGACGTCATAACGAGAACATGGAGGAATCTAGAACAAATGAAGGAAAAATTGCGTTATTGCCATCATGTGCAGGAGGCTCTGGACGGAATAATAGAAACCCTTCCTCTCCAATGGTATAATATTCTAAGAGCGGGCCCGGTTTACAAGGAAGGAGACCGGGTGATGCAGAAAGGAGACCTTGGCATGGTCGGGATGGTCCACCTGGTCAGCCCCACGGAGGTATTGATCGAGTTCTATACTATAACGAAGGGGAACAGACTAAGCGGCAGCACAGCCCCCTTTGCCTGGACAGACAAGGAAGAAGTTGACCGGATGAGAGTGATGGGGGAAGGTGAAAACCGCTGGGTACATAAACCTGGAACCCCGATCACAGATCTGGGCATAGACCCACTTGAGTGGAGATGGAAACCAGCTGGCCCGACACGAGGAGGTATCCACAGAGACACAACACTTGAAAACCTCTTTGTTAAAACCACATATAGGATGATCAGGCCAAGATGGAATCTAAAAGACACAGTGAATGAGCGTTGGTATAGACACCTAAACGTTGACAGACATCTGCTAGCTCCAATTAGATGGTTTCAGGAAAGCAAGAGGAGGCCGGCCAAAATCACCTCCCTGCAATGGCAGATAGCCCATAGGTGCCTACCTACCAATAACTGGCTGATTGACCACACCAGGCTGGAACAACCGGGCCGCGCTCTCCCCTGGTGCAACAGATGCCTCCGAGGGTACCCGGCCAAAAAGGCAGCGGAAACCACTGAGCACATCTTTCTACAGTGCCCGAATGCGGCCCTTACCTGGCGCTGGTGGGACCGGGTCTGGCAGCACATAGTCCCTGGATCCCTCTGGCCATGGGACTGGCGGGCCATCCTCACAGGCTTTTGGCCAGGACGGCCCGAAGAGGAGTTTGCGAATAATATGTTTGACCTGGGGAGACGAACAATCTTATGGACGCTGTGGTGGCAAAGATGTGTTATGACAATGGAAGAAGTGCGATTGGAGGGGGAGGAGGTGCGCGAGCATATCAAAAACCATCTCCAGTTGGACATAACTGCTAGATGGCAGACAGTAAAACGCAAGATAGACCTCCTTCAGCAACCAAAGGATATTAAAGAAAGCATCACTAAATTCTGCCAAGAATGGTTGGGCGGGGAAAGGGAAGGCTGGATTGCACAGGTGAAATGGTCAGGGGACGCGAACGAAGGCCCTCAGGGGGAGGGAGAGATGGTAAGAAGGGATTACTGCCTGAATTTTAAAGAATGGACTGACATCGACCCGAGCTTCCCAATGAGGCCAGCTTCCAAGTTCCCTGACCCCTTCCCCCCACACCCGTTATCCCTCGTAGAAATAACTACGCCTTGAGGCTCTGTTTTGGATGCTGGTTTTCGGGGATTCGCATTTTAACAGAAAAGGGACTTTTTATGTAAGGGACGCTGGACCCGGTTTCCAGCAGGTGCTGCTTCCAAAAAAGAGATTGTCTGCAAAAAAGGGTAGGCAGAGATGTTATACTCCGGTCATGGGACGCTGGACCCGGTTTCCAGCACTGTGGTGTCAGACTGTTTTCCCAGAGCTTCTTGGCCCCTTTTCTTAACTTTTTTTGGCATGCTCAGTCAACCCCCTGGGGCAGTTAGGCAATCAATGCTGGCAGGCCCCACAATCTTCATTGTCACTAAGACATTCTATTTTCGACATTCTATTTCCTGTGAAATTTCTGTATATGGGACGCTGGACGCCATGAGGACAGCAGGAGGAGGGCAGGACCTAGGGG